ATAACAGCTTCTAGAAGGTGAGAGCTGTCAGATAAATTCAGCTGCAAGTTCCGGGGAGGGGAGACATTGGGCTTGGCCAGAGTGGAGAAGGCTCGACGCATTCATTGGAGACTCTAGAAAAGCATCATGTTAGGAATAAGGACTACCCCCAAGAAGGACAAACGAAACTAAAACAGTTCAAGTGATAGAAGCCTAACTTCAAGCCTCAAAGCCTACTAAAAGTTAATATTCCTTAGAGAAAATAACATAATCTACAGCATATTATCCATGTTGTCTAGCTTATAACTAAAAGCTCATAAATGTGAAGAAAAGAAGCAGGAAAAACAAATGACAATAAATAAGACAGTCAACAGAAGACCCAAGGATAATCCACAGAGTTAGCAGATAAGGACTTTAAAACAACTATGAATCATATGTTGAAGAAAACATTTAAAAGAGAGACAAAAATAAAGTGACGCTACAAGAGAATTATAATCTTTAAAAAAATGAAGTAGACACTCTGATAGGCAACCTCTGCTATGGTCCCTAATAATCCCCACTTCCTGTTTGATGCCTTTATGGAATCCCACCTTTTGAGTGTGGTATGCATTGACAGATTCACTTCAGCATAAAATGTGGCAGAAGTGAGATGTCACTTCCAAAATAAGATCAAGACTGTGTTTCCATCTTGGGTGCTCATGCTTATTCTCTGAATGCCTGCCATTGAGTAAGAGGTGCCCTGTCATCAGGTAATTCTGTGGAGACCCACGAATTGTGACACCATGTGGTGAAAAGCGGGACCTGCCACCAATGATGTGGATAAGCTCAGAGGTGGATACCCTTACCACTCCGGCACATGTTCTCCTCCCCACCACAGCTGATCCTTCAATGAAACCATGGTGCCAGCTGGCTGCAACTGAGGGACTCATGAGGGACCTTTCACCAGAGGAACCTGGTTAAGCCTCACCTGAGTTTCTGATAGGAACAGTGAGATATTTTTTAAAAATTTTTAGTTGTAGATGGACACAAAACCTTTATTTTTATGTGGTGCTAAGGATCGAACCCAGTGCCTCACAAGACGTAGGCAAGTGCCCTACCACTGAGCTGCAACCCCTTAATATTTGTTTTGACTGCTAAGTTCTGAGGTTTTTTGTTTAAAGAAATGGGTAATATAGACATTCCAGAACACAAAGCACAACAGCTGATGTTAACTCATTAGGTGGGTTTAATACAATGGACACAGCAGGAAGTAGAATTAATGTGAGGAACAGGTAAAAGATGCTATGGTGGTAATAAGTACTATTTCCTCATACAGAAGTCTGGTAATTTTTACCATTCCTACATACAGACACATGCTATGTATGAAATACACTACCTTGACAGAATGTTTGAAAGACTCCAGAGTTTAAAGATGTCACTTCTTTTATTAGCACATTAAAGTTATATGTGGTCTTGGGTTCCTTTTGACAAAATCATGCTGCTTGGACTTATTTATTCCACTTTAGTCTCGGTTTCACCTTTTCCCTCTCCTCCACCCTCCCCATTCTCCTTCCTCTACTCTACTATTCTTTCACTCATTTATTTTTGACTGGTGCTTTCTACATACAAAGGTGGAATTCTCTGTGGTATATTTATATATGCACATAATGTAACTTTGTTAAATTCATTCTGCATTTCCCCCCTTTCTAGTTCCTCCTCTCTCCCTATCTCCTTCTATTCCACTGATCTTTCCTATATCCTTATGATATCTCATCTCCCCCTCTTTTGCTCTGGCTTATTTTGATCCAGCCTCCACATGTGAGAGAAAACATCTGACCCTTGTTTCTGAGTCTGGCTTATTTCACTTAGCATGTTCTCCATTTCCATCCACTTACCAGCAAATGCCATAATTTCATTCCCCCCCCATTCTTCTTTATAGTTGAGTAAAATTCCATTTTGTGTGTGTGTGTGTATCACATTTCCTTAATTTGTTCATCTATTGACCTATTGATGGGCATCTGGATTGGTTCTATTATTTGACTATTGTAAATTATGTTGCTATAAACATTATGTGACTGTATCATTATAGTATGTGATACTATAGTTCTTTTGGATAAATACAAAGGAGTGGGATAGTTGAGTCATATAGTAATTCCACTTGAATTTTTTTTAGGAATTTCCATACTGCTTTCCACCAATTTGTAGTTGTACTAATTTGTAGTTCCACCAACAATGTATGTGTAATTTTCCCCCCACATCCTCACCAGCATTTATTATTACTTGTATTTTTGGTAATTGCCATTCTGACTGGAGTGACATGAAATCTTATTGTAGTTTTGACTTGTTATTTCCCTGATTACTAAAGACGATGAACATTTTTCATGTATTTGTTGGCCATTTGTGTTTCTTCTTTTGAGATGTGTCTATTTAGTTGTTTTGCCCATTTTTTTTACTGGGTTATTTGACTTTTTTGTGTTAAGTTTTTGAGGTCTCTATATATTCTGGATATTAACCCCCTGTCAGAGGAGTAGCTGGCAAAGATTTTCTCCCATTCTTTAGGCTCTCTTTAAAGATGTTATTTCTTTATTCAAAGTAATCTCAATCAAAATCTTTATAAAGTTATTTTTTAAATTGACAAAAAAAAAGTGAATGGAATAGTTGGGGATGTAGCTCAATGTGGTACAGCACTTGCCTGGTATGAGCAAGGACCTTGGTTAGAGCCTCAATATTGCATTAATAAATAAATAATTTTACTCACTAAGGATATAAAGCAGTGTATAAATCAGAGCTGGGGTTTGATAACAAGCATCAAAAAAGGAGAAAAAAGATTGCCAAAAATATTTGAAAAATAAGACTTGTTTAGGAATATCAAAACATACCTAAATCTTGAGCAATTAAAATTGTTGGTATAAACTAAAGGAGAGAACATCAATGGACAGAAATTGATGCTTGTGTTTATAGCTCCTTGAAAATGATAGAGGTATACCATTTTGATGTGTGATAAAAAAA